TACCCCAGTTTTGATAAATTCCCCCACTGTATTTATATAATATATACAATATACTAATTGGTTTTGAGGTTTATGCATTGATGTTTTTTGATACATTGTTTGATATACTGGTGTTGGAACCGATATCATTGAATTCTAATGATACAGCTTTGATGCAAAGGTGTTCCTTGATATCCTGAACTGAATCAGCACGTGGCTGTTTGATACGCAAATGAGGACCATCAAAGGGTTCTTGGGGCTGGACACCGATGAATGAAGATCTGCCGGACTGTCATCTCCTGGGGCAAGCCCGACCCCCTCCTGGTATTTACTGCCCACACCTGTGTCAGCAAGGAGGCATATATGCTGGGATGGGTTGAGGGGCATATGATGGAACCTTCTTCCTGTGTGATCATCTGCACAAACTTAGCTCACAAGCAGGAACAATGGTAACCTTCGTGACCTCTTGGAAAAGACAAGTCTTTCTGGACTCTACAATCAAGAATGTGATTCGCTGAGGCCTGCTGGAGAGGAGTGTTCGGAGCATAGAGAAAACCCCAGGGCATATGTGAATGAGAGAATAATGGTTAGCTGAAGTATCCTAACCTCAATTCCTATCCCTCCAAATCCCCTCTCCAATTCCCTTAAGGCCCCGTTCACATTGAGCGATTCGCAAATCGCGCATTTGTCACGCGATTTGCATTTTGCGCGATATCGCGCGTTTTTTCGCGCAAGTGCTTGCATCAAAAACCATTGAATCGCAGAAAAATCCGCTCCAAAAGGGGTCCTGCTGTAGCGACACACGACCCGCAACAGCAGGACCCTTTGCCCCGTTGCAAAGCATTGAAGAGCGATATCGCGTGGTAAATACCCGAGATAAATCGCTCAATGTGAACGGGGACCTAAAAGGAGAACTATGAGGTGAATGCTTTTCACTCACCTCATAGTTCTAGCCGACCTGTGACAATGAGACTGTCACAGGTCGGCTCAGTAGATCGGGAGGTGAGCGAACACATACCAGGTTCGCTCACCTCTCGATCTTGTCACGGCTCTCTGCCGTGACAGGGGAGGGGATGGATTCCCCCCTCCGATCCTCCAGCGCTGACTGGCGGAAGGGATGGGGAGGGGGGCAGGTACAGCTGGCTCTGCCTCTAGATAGGCAGAGCCAGCTATCAGTCACGCAGCTGGGCGGATCCCGGCATAATTGTCGGGATCCGCTTCAGCTGCGGCGTCTGAGTATACCGCGAGCTAGAGCTTGTGCTATACTGAGCTTACGGTGACGGGAGGACGCTAGTTTGTGTCCTCCCGTTACCCTAAGGAGAACTATGGGGAAAAGCCCTGACCCCATAGTTCTCCTTTAATTGTAATTAGAATGTATGTATATCCCTATTTGTAAATAAACCCAACACTTATTTAAGATTCAGTTCTTAATCAATAATTGAAGGCACCGCCAAAGCAGAGCACATTCTACAACTGGTACAATGGAATTGACATATCCTATATCCCTTTGATGTATGAGATGGTGTTCACAGTGTGTGTCTCCACCAACACACAAGCACAACAAGGGAAGACACCCCCTGTTCTTTGCTTCCCCCTTCTCCGAGCTAGTAGATGGACGCTGCTGCAGGCTGTGCTCTCCCTTGTGATCTTGTACAGGACAGGAAGTTCAGGGAAGTGCAGCAGAGAGAGTTGGAGCCAGCTGTTTAGAAACATGATGACTTGATGTGCACGGCCAAAAATGTAAAGGAATACTTTGCAGGGCAATGTGTATGTGTGTGATCTGGATTCATTATAGAAAAGCATGCAAGGGACTCAACAACCTGAAACACAACCTGTATGGTAAAAGGATTGTAATCAGGACACAAAGGCAGCCAGTTATTGAAACCCTAATCACAATGTATCATGCCGACACTACCAAATGGACAACGAAATAGAAGCTATACACAGGTGACTGCAAAAACCTGGCAGTTATAAGGAGCACGGCCTCTGAAACAAACATGGACGCAGAGCGGCAAAACAAATAACAGGGTGAGCCCGCCATGGAGGCTACTGATATTTCTTTTTTTTAAATCCAAAAATGC